AGTGACCGTGCAACAGAGAGACTAGTGAGGGAGGCCACCAAGCTCTATGCTCAATGACGACTCTGCAGGAGCTACAAGCTTCAAAGGCTTAGACTGGAAAGACTGCATACAAGAACAGTTAATCGGGTGCTTCACCCGGCCCTTTTTGAGAGAGTGACAAAGAGAAAGGCACTCTCACTTTCGCTTTGACATTAAAAGGTCCTTTTTTTATATTTTCTACTTTGACTCAGTGTTGTAAGACAATAAAACGTGAACTTGACTTGTTAAATCAGTGTGTAAATGTGAACACAGGCCGTGACAGAAGTACGTTTTCGTCTTTTCAGTTCAGGCAATATAATTATATTTTACCGTAATAATTCTGATGCAATTATTCATGCCTGCAATATGACCCGACAGAGCGAGGTTATCATTCCTCTTCACATCAATGTGAACTCATAAAATGCAAGAAGATTTTTTCCTCCTGAGAGAAATGTTGAATATTTTAGAGCTATTCGGTGACATCTGAGCCACAAAGTGCCTCCGAGAAAGTGGTTGTGATATCATTGATGCTAATTAGGATGTCATTGTAGTTTAAAGGTCAAATATTGAATAAAAAGTGTGGGTCAGGACAGATTTCTGCAATGATAGTAGACATTCAGTGGAGGGTCAGCAGCTTTTTATATTCCAGCCATTCACTCCTCGAGGTGATTGTACTGATTAGTTCCTCCTATCTGGCTGAAAGTGTATTGATTGGTTGGAAAGAGTATGAGCAATCTCTTGGTCCTGCAAGGCACATGATTGCCTGTATCTGCTGTACACCTTTACACTCTGTTAATAACAGGACCCCGATCCTTTCACAGCTGTGTACAAAAACACCAAAGTTAGTGAGCTTTTCAATGAACATCAATGCTGTTTTTTAACATCTCACATTCTGCTAAGTAAATGTGTTTCATTGAGGCCATAAAATGAAATAACGTAGTGAATGTTATAAAAATAGTGTCTCCACTTCTCCTACTCTCTCTATTGATAAAATCAATGGAGTATTAGTATTAGAATAGTTTACTTCAAAGAACATTATCATGATTCAAAGTAAAAAAACTTACATGATTTACTATAACTTTGACTAACTATTATTAAATATTAATACAAATGTAGCAAATAGAGAACACTGAAATATTTCTTTTCTCCCGAAATATATTACCACTTCTTTCGGAAGCATCAACTACCCAAAAGTATGCCTCCTCCAGGAAACAGAAGTTCACAACTTGTCTCTCCTCTCTCCTCGTGTTGCTGGGGAAGAACAGAAGAGCGTGTTATGACTAACCAGTCGGCCTGGCGAGTGTGTCTTACGTCAAAAAGTCACACACTCATCAGCAGCCTTCTGTACCAGCTCAATGTGCATTCAGTCAAAAGTTAGGGTGTAAAGACTACTCATTACATTGAAACAGTTTGACACCAAAGCTGTGTCTTTGTTTAACAATGCACAGTAGAGACTTACAGTACATCTTAATAAGTGGGGTATGAAGGGACCATTAATCGAAGCACTGGTGCACACAGTGACGCTGTCATTCCCTCCATCTAACAATGTGTGTACAAAATGAATGTCACATGCTTCACAAGGCTTTTTACTAATACCAGGCAAGAGACTTTTATAAGTGAACAATTGGCTACTTTATTGTTATTATTTGTAGTTTTTCTACCAAACTCCATATAACATCACACGTAGCTTAAAAAATGACTTACTGAGAAAAAGTTGACTCCTGCACATTGTAAGCACTAGTTTCTAGTCACAGCAGACATTTTGACTCCTTGTAGCAGGTACAACAGAGGTGTAACTCATAACATTAATCATGGCTCCATCTCATTTAAGTGCGCCAGTGAGCCATGTCACAGGCTCAGCATGCACAGTACCATGGCCCTATTCTACATGTCAGTCGTTAGTTACACCTGTAGTTTCTTCTGGTATGACGTGAGAAAATGTCTTCTTTGAAAAAGGCCTTTTAGAAATGTAACATTTTGTAGACCTTCGGTGAACTTGAAATATTTAAAGGAATATTCTGACGTTATGGAAAATACACCCTTTCTTACCAGGAGTCAGAGGGTGAGTTTATGTCTGTGGTCAGAAGCAGCTCTGCGACATGTTTAGCCTAGCTTAGCACAAGCACTGGAAGCAGGGGGGAAACACCTAACTCCACCAAAAATGCCTTCCAACATCAAAGCCGTCGTACACATTGTATCTTGTTTATTTAACACTTGTAAACATAGAAAACAAGACATAGTTTGCTTATACAGTGTGGAGCCATTTCCTAATGAACAACAGCTGGGCCTTCAACATAAGCAGCCTCTTGAAAGTCATGTCAGAGTGAACTTGCCAGCTTTGCGCACTTTCCTGTATCTTAACAAAACTCAGCTGATGTGTAGTTAGCACACAAGAAGAACATGACAATAAGGCAATGCTCTCTTTCTCTTTTGATGAAAGCTAGCTGTGTTTCCCTCTGTTTTCAGTCTTTATGCTAAGCTAGGCTAAACCCAGCCCATCCCTCTTGTGAACACTCAGAGGTAGCAAACTGACAAACTGCAAAAAGTCACAGAAACAATCATGATGGCATGTGGTGCCTGCTAAGACATGAATATTACAAACAATACATACAAGCTATTACTTTAATTGAATGGAAAAATTAATATGGTTAATAATGTTCACCCTTTAATATCAATATTCTTATGTAACTCTTCCCAAAATATTTGATCCTTATAGGTGAACTTGCTATGCAATTAAAAGAAATACCAGCTTTCAGTTAGGTTCTCCAGCAGCTTATTGATCTGATTTCATATTGCCAACATAAGTCACGTTTGTACTGAGGTCTGACCGGTGCAACAGGCTGTAGGTTTCCTAGCAAGCCCACTCTCACTCTTCCTCCATACACTAATGAAGAACAGCCTCAGGGCAAGCTAGAGGCCCAAGGTTACATACCTGTGATCTCTCCTCACAAAGAAATCAGCAGCACCCATCTTAGAGAGATAAACAGTACTCAGCTCTGCTTGGATGGAGGCTGAGTCACTGGCTCAGTCTGTGGAAATGTCTGCTGTTCCTTGGCCACTGCTTAAACTCTGTTTTTCTGTGATTTCTAATCTGTGGGAAATGGTGTTGCTGTCTGAAACTGCCCAAAAAGACCTTTCTGATGGTCTGGGAGAAATAATTTTTAATCAGAAATGTCAGGAACTGTTAACACTTTCTCACCGACCATCATGCAGTGTTGTTTTTGTCAGTGAACTGCTATGACCTTGATACATGACCTACAGATACAGAAGAAAACATCCGATGTTTTCTGTTCTGGCATGTTTGCATTGATCAGATTGTTCTCTCTGATTACACTGCAACAACTTCAATAATCATTATGGATTTTTTCAAATGTCTATTAGATTCTGACATCATTAGAAACCACGTTTGTTTCCTTCCACTTTACACTAATTAACTCTAATATCGTTCCACTCTTCAGCTTTCAAGATAACAAGCCATGAGATGTAAACAGAGCTCATTCTTGCTCTCATTGCTGGCTCACTAGATATTATTGTTGCCTGTAAATGAGTTGCATTTCATTTTCATACTTTAGTGGTTGAGGCGATACCTAGTCCTGTTAATTATTCATGTGTCAGCAATTTGTGCAGCTGTTCCCCCTTCAGACTGAAAGGAGGAGAAGATTGAACTGATCTCTAATACATACTTTCAGGTAAAGCAGTGACTACAGATACAGCTTGGTCTGCTGATAATTATGTCTTGGAACTGTATTGTTAGTGCGATAATTGTGTAGATCTTTTTATGCGTTCAGTCTGTCAGTCGTTCCACCACTTCGGTCCGGATGAAATATCTCGACTATGGGATGGATTGCCATGAAATTTTGCACAGACCTTCATGGTTCCCACAGGATGAATCTTAATGACTTTGGTGATCCCATGACTATTCCTCTCAAGCAACCAAGCTCAAGCATGAGGCTGACATTTTTGTTTTCAGTGGCATGTTTTTGACAACATTAGGATGGATTGTCATGACATTTTGTGCAGACATTTATGGTCCCCAAAGAATGAATCTTGTTGGATGGAATGCTATGCCATTTCATCTCCACTTCATGATGAATTGCAATAACTTTGATGTCCCATAACTTTTCATCTTGCACCATTTTTCCAATATTTCTTCTGACCAGAAACCTGCAAAGCTAATAACATCCCCATCAACCTCAGCTGTACGTTGTTTTTAAGGCTACTTAGCACATTTTAGCATGCCAACATGCTAAACAGCATGCTAACATGCTAAATGGATAGGGATGTAAAGATATATCATGGGACATTCAAATCTCAATACGTGAAGATTCATATTAGTGAGATGAAAATATAAATATATATATAATGTATATATATATATATATATATATATATATATAAATTGTGGTATCAAGGCGCAAAGACTTTAGTTTCAGTTTCACTTTTACAAAGAAAATATTTATTGTTTTGTACATTTTCTACCCTACCTCAGAAATTAATTAACATATATTTTGCTGATTTTTGTCTGACAAATGTTTTTCAGTTATAATTTCTTTTTAATCTAATTTTGTTGGAAAACATTGTGGGGAAATTCTTCTGGATCTAAATTCAGTATTATGATTGTCATTTAGCTCAAAGCCCCAGTGTGCCCAAGTACATTCTCACAGAACCACATGGCTGTAGATATTTAGTCTTGATATACCTTGAATGCATTTTACAGATCCGGACCACTGATGTGTTTTTTTTTCTGTAAACATGTGAGAGAAAGACAGAAATGTATGATTCATAACATTCATTTTTTTTCTATAGCCCTGGTGCACCTGGTGTTTACCACTGCAAGTTCCACATATAGCCTGGAATACAAATACGAAAGACTTCACCATCTCTCATTGTTTCTCTCGTTGCTCCATCTCCTGCTTTCTTTTTTTACTTGAATCTTTCTTTCTATCTCTTTCCTCACTCTCTTATCTGTTTCCTCAACAGGAATACCTGTGTCCACTGAAGCGGTTTGTGTAGAGGAGCATGTTGTGACAGCCATGTCTCTGGAGATGGAGAAGACCATCACCAAGCTGATGTACGACTTCCAGAGGAACTCTACCTCTGATGATGACTCTGGATGTGCACTGGAGGAATATGTCTGGGTTCCCCCTGGCCTCAGTCCTGAGCAGGTACACAACCTTCCCTTTCAAGTCCCAGATATTCAGCTTGCACATTAACACGCCTTCCCCATCACTCCTAAGTGCTTCATTAGCTAATGCTTATTTTTGCATAGCCAGACTGTATCGAATTGAACCGGATCGGTCAGAAGAATTAAATTATTTGGACGATAAAGTATCTGTGGTGTTTTCCTAACAATCCTGAGATGGAAATTTCACTGATCTGAAAACAAGTCAATGGATCACTATTGTTTTTTATTCCCTTCATAGTGTTTTAGTCTCTTTGGGTTGGAGAAGGGGAGGAGAGAAGGTCAGGGATTTCATACAAATCACTGAGACTTAGCTGACAGGCGTTTCATGGAAGAGTAATTGAAAGGACATTTTTCAGCTGTCACTGTTAGGGCTGACACTGTGTAGGAACCAAATTCACTGACAGACAGAAGGACAGCCATAACCAAAATCATGAAAAGGAACCACAGAGTCATTAGCTGATTACATAGTCTGAAGAACAGATGTGGAGCAATGAATGAATTTATGTTGTCTGGATCACTGTGTTATCAAAATATGCAGCTGTATATTAATCAATCTTTTTTTATATTCGAGTGTATAGGGTTTTGTTTATCCAGGTGGAGTCCCATTTCACATAAAGCAATAAGCAATTTCCCAAGTAGATGATTGTAACATTTTTATGAAAATATGAGGGAAATATGTCACGTTAGGTCTGTTCACATATCGTAATTTTTCCATTTAATGATGCTTTTGGTATGCTAAGACTCAATTTGTTCTGTATTTTGGTGTATCTTGTGATTTTAAACCCAGAGGAATGGAAGTAATTTGAGTCAGTGAATGTTTGGTTGACTCTAATTGTGAATCTAATTGAAAATGTGGCAATGTGTTTATATGTCCAGGTTTCACAATTCCCTGTCTGGGCTCATTTGCAGTTTAAATGCCTTTTAATTGCATGCATGACCAAACTAATGTAATCAATCGTGCACATCCAGAGGAAAATATTTCCTCATCATTTTTTATTTTTGTCCTTTGTTTTCATCAGTTCTGACATAAGATAAACAGGGTTCTTTCAAACTATACTGTGTAAAAACAAACTGTCTTTATTTAGTAAGGGCAGTGCTCTAATGCAACAGGCCTCCTAGGGCTCTGTTAACAGATGACAGGCCACACTGATAACAGTCATTTTCTCCAGTCAGCCATCTTGACAGGATGCAATGAATGTAATGATTTTTAAGCCTGTCACTTTGGGTTTTCTCTGCACAATGTCATTAATGTGACTCACATTTTAAAAGAAATGTATCATTTCACATGGTACAGTTCATTGAGCTGTCAAAACTCAAACTCAATTTTGACAACATTTTCTGACAATGAGGTTAATCTGTGTCAGGATTGGCTTGTTGAAATGTTTGATTCCCAGATGTTCATGACAGTGGTGCCCCTAAGTTGAACTGTCTACTCCTGACCATCTCTGACCAAATGTCCAACGGATACTAATTGTATTCATAAAAAATGATTATTCTTCTTTTTTTTCCTCTTTATCCTGGTGTCTATTAAAGTTATTTCAAGAGCTTGAGAATACAGGATTTGGTGAGATAGAAATTCCCATGAGTTGGAACAGAGCTGAAACTATCAGTTAATGTGAATACTTACTGGTTTTCTTAGTCTTCTATTATAGTAAACGTAAAACCATTGGATTTTAGACTGTTGGTGAAGCAATATGAAGGGCTCTGGGAAATTACAATTGGAATATTTCATCAGACCAGAAATATGATTAATTGATAATGAAAGTAAAGTAAAATTAGTTTACTTAAGTTGAAGAGAGACAACAAAGAAATGCTGTAGGAGAGTGAATATTCAGTGACATTGTAGTCGTGCTTCATAGCCATTTCCTCTCCTTCCAAGCTCTCCTCATTTCCAGATTCTGGAGTAAAGTTCCACCCTCACCCTAAACTGGCACAAGGCGCAGTGTCACCCTCCACAGCGTAGAATAAAACAAGGGGGTGGGTTATAGAGCATCTGAGGGGCAGCACTCAGAGACGTGCACTCTCTACCCCACTGATTATGTAAATTGGATCACAACAACTTCAACAAAATAGATCTTTACACTGCTCTGCACACTCTGCGTCAAAGGCTGTTTCCCTGAAAATCAAAGACAAGATTGCTTTCCATTCTTTAAGTGTTTACTTCTCAAATCAAGGTTTTCTCTATTTCCTGCTAACATGCAAATACAAAAGGAGATTTAGGCCATGGTTACAAAGTCCTATGCGTCATGAATTCTAATTGCAATACCAGTGTGTGTAACTGAGATTTCTTTTTAAGCACTGCGAATATATGCTGTTGAAAATTTAAAGAACCTGAACTGTTCAAGGTTGTGTCTGCAGCAGCAGCAGCAGCAGCCAGAGCTCATTGTGCCATGCACTCTGAATTCCAGACACTAATTTCCAAGGGCAGCGATGGTAGAGGGCAAAACGAAAACAACTTCTATTGGCATGAAAACCATGATAAATTAATTTTAAAGTAATTTCAAATTCATTTAGGTTTGTCACCATGAGTATTATGTATCATGTTAATTAGTCCACCTTTAATTCAGCATAATGGGCACATAGTGACTCAGTTATCACTGTGTAAGTCAGCTCTGTATCATGCTTAAAGCAGCTACAAGGAATGTTCATTTTTTGTTGATTCTGGCACCCCTATGGAAAAAAGTGATACTCTTTCCACTGCCTCGTTTCATTGATAGCCTATATAAAAAATAGCAAATCTCTCTCTATCCCATTAGGGATATGGAGGGTATG